GGATCTTTTAGTGGAAAATAGGTCTTCTTTAAATCCCTAAATCCCTGGGAAGGTTGCTTGGGGTCCCATTTCCAACTTGAACTCTGAGGAGTCGAGGATCTAAGCTCATGCTATGATTTGAATGTGCCTCCTTCAAAATTCAGATGTTGCCAATTTGACAGTATTAAGAGGTGGGTCTTTAAGAGATGACTAGGCCACGAGGTCTCCTTCATGAATGGGATTAGGAGCCCTCATAAAAGAGCTTGATGGAGGAAGTTGGTTCTCTCTTACCCACCTGCCTTCTACCATGTGAGCACACAGCAAGAAGGCTCTCACCAGACCAAATTCTGGAAATTGATCTTGGCCTCAACAGCCTCCAGAATTGTGAAAAATCAATTTCTGTCCTTTTTAGATTACCCAGTCCCAGGTATCTTGTTATAGCAGCACAAACATACTGAGACAGCCATAAATCACAGCACTACATGGAGTTGACTGGAACATCAACTCTGGGAAACTCACCTGTGCTATGTCCTTGGTGCAAGGTCTGTGAAGGTTTACCTGGCAGATTCACACACGAGGGTCTGAGGTGGACTCATCATCAGCCACATTCCTCTAACTGTTACCACGCTCCGTGGAGCAGGATCTCCTCTCTTTCACTATTCTACTTGCACTTTTACATGGGATATAAGACCCTTGGTCTCACTCAAAAATCCCTCAGCTTACTAAGCTTAATTAATTCCCTTTGTATAAAGATATATATTGATGTGTTCATATGTAGGTAAAGAAAGAAAAGTATTAACTGATTGTAAGATTTTTCTTTTTTCTTTTTGATATTTTAACATCTCTGAAATTAGTTGGCATCTCACAAGCCATAGCAGCATTTTTTTTCTTAGCAACACATAAAGTAGCAGTATATGAGGGTACTTCAAAAAGTTCACAGAAAGGTTCAGATGACCTTTCAATTCTATTTTTCCACACTCTTTTTGAAGTGCCCTCATACTTCACAACCAATGGCATATCACGAATGTCAAAATATGGTAGACTTGGCCAATAAAATTAAGCCTTTCTTCCATTTTGGCAAAAATTTTTTAAAAAATGGAAGCAAATTACATTTTTAAAAACACTTCGGTAAGTTAGGATTGCTCTACATTAATGCCAATTATTTTCATCCAGTTCATCTCTTTCTAAGAGAGAGATTTTTTGAAAGGAATGTATAATTAAAATAGTAGTTAGATAATATAGTATTTCCCATTTTCTATATGATAGCTAATATAAATCAGAAAAATATATGGTTTCCTTTCCTGCTCAAAATGACATAATCTATTGTTTACTGTTGACTTCTTGGTATATTCTTATCAAGAGTACATCTTGATATGTGACAAAATACATTGGGTGAGAAGAGAGCGATGGTTTTGTATAATGAAATTACCTCGTATCAGAAGACACAGACCTTGTTACGAGTGTTTTACTGACAGGAAGTCAGAGATCACATCTCAGCTATATTTTTAAAGCAGAAATACTGGAAGGAGCATCCCTGAAAACAGGGCAGGTCCATGTTGCCCTCTGATCTTGCTTGAGTTTTTAACAGAAACTATTCTCTCAGCAGCAAGAAAAAACTTTGTACTGACAACCCTCTGGTCAATTCTTAAACATTTTTTTACTGTAGGAATATACAAGACTAGAAATTTACAAGACTGCAAAAATATACAAGATGTATATTTGTTATAAACTAGGTGGGTGTGTATTTCCCATTACATAATTAGCATCTCTCAGATATACACATGCTGTAACAACCATGGATCCTACGCCAAAGACCTTATTGGTTCAGAAGCGGTGCAATTGTCTTCCTCTGCCTTTTTTACCATTAAAAATGCTAAGTCAAAGACCTACAAGAAGATGTGCTGCTTCTTCTGAATTGCAAGTCTGTTATTTGGGGCTACATTTCAGATATTACACATTGTTTTATCCAGCTGCAAAGAATTTAAGGCGAACACCTTTGTGCTCTTAAAGTGTTGTTCAGAAGTGAGAAGGACTTAGCACAAATACTGGCCATTTTCTAATCATTTTCAAGAGTCACTGCAAAAAATTTTGTTTCTAAACTCATAGATCTGAAGTTAAGTAACCAAAAAGACTAATAGCTAACTCCATGTCAAAGCTTTCTAGAACCTGGAAGTGGTGATACATATGCCTCTGTAGTGAGGGCCTCGTGATCCTGTGCCAGCACTGGGGGAACAGTACTGGGTTGAAGAGCACACT